TCGGCCTCAAAAATTCAGGCGCCACCTACACACGCATGGTGGCTAGGGTCTTTCAAGCTGTCCTAGGACGCACCATGGAGGCTTACGTTGACGATATGATCGTCAAAAGCAAGAAGGCAAGCACCCACGCCGACGACCTCCGGGAGATTTTTGCCATCATGCAAAAATTTAACCTCCGGCTAAATCCAAAGAAATGCACCTTCGGCGTACAGGGAGGAAAGTTCTTAGGCTACATGGTCAGCCGAAGGGGTATTGAAGCCAACCCCGAGAAAATTCAGGCCATCATCAACATGGAGCCCCCACGCAACGTCAAAGAAGTCCAACGGCTGACGGGTCGCCTGGCAGCCCTCAACCGTTTCCTCTCAAAGTCAGCCGAGAGGGCTCTCCCATTCTTCCAAATCATGAGGAAAACGGCGGGTTTTCAATGGACATCTGAATGTCAAGAGGCCTTCGATGAACTCAAGAAGTACCTCTCTTCTCCCCCAGTACTCTCCAAACCTAAGGTGGGGGAAACTTTGTACTTATATCTCGGTGTTAGCCCCGCGGCTATCAGCTCAGTGCTGATCCGAGAGGAAGACGGCATCCAACATGCCATCTTCTACGTCAGCAAAACCCTCCGGGAAGCCGAACTCAGGTATTCTCCCGTCGAGAAGACGGTGCTAGCCATCGTTTGGACCGTCAAGAAGCTTGGCCACTACTTTCAAGCTCATCCAGTCCAGGTGCTCACTCATCAACCCCTTGGCGCCCTCATGAGGAGTCCCACTAGCTCCTCTCGGATGGTGAAATGGGCCATCTTCCTCAGCCAATACAACATAGACATCCGTCCGCGGCCTGCCATTAAGGGCCAAGCCCTGGCAGACTTCGTGACGGAGTGCACCGCAAGGTCAGCAACTGACGAGGAGCCCTCGGCACCCCTCGATGAATGGTGGACACTCTATACCGATGGCTCCTCGGCCGCCAAAGCATGCGGAGGGGGAGTAGTCCTGATCACACCCGAAGGCTTCCGCGCCTATTATGCCGTCCGCTTCTCCTTCAAAGTCTCCAATAACGAGGCCGAGTACGAAGCCCTCCTCTGTGGCCTTCGGCTGGCGGCGAATCTGAAGGCTAAGATGATCCACGTCAAGTGTGACTCCAAACTTGTTGTGGGTCACATTTCCGGGGAGTACGAAGCTAAGGAAGGAAGGATGAAACAATACAAGGAAGCGGCTAAGGAGTTGCTCGAGGTGTTTGAGGCACATTCTCTCACCCAAATACCGAGGGCTCAAAACTCCGAGGCCGACATACTATCCAAGCTCTCGGATGAATCCCCCGAGCACCTCTCCAAAATTGCAAGAATTGAGGAACTTAGCCTCTCGAGCATCCACGCGAGCCCCGTCATGAGCATTAACCTAAGGCCGGAGGATTGGATCTCCGACATCATCGCCTTCATCACCACAGGACAACTGCCCCAAGACGAAGCCCGCGCTAAGTTAGCAAAACTGAGGGCTCCCAGCTACACCCTCGAAAACGGGAGGCTTTACAAGAGATCTTACAACGGCACCCTCCTTCGGTGCCTTCATCAAGATGAGGCCGAAGTCGCCATGGAGGAAGTGCACAGTGGGACTTGCTCAGCTCACCAGGGACCCTTCTCCATGTCCCGAAGGCTCATAGTTCAGGGCTACTTCTGGCCCACGATGGCTAGGGATTGTGCCGATTTAGCCCGAAGGTGCACCGCTTGCCAACACTTTCAGAAGGCCCCCGGCAGACCAGCAGTCAACTATGCCCCCATCAGCACCGCTATACCCTTCTCCAGATGGGGAGTCGATTTAGTGGGACCTCTGCCGAGGGGTACCTCCAACAACAGGTACATCATTGTGGCCATTGACTACTTCACCAAGTGGGTAGAGGCCGAACCCCTCGCCAGCATCACGGAGGCCCGGTGCCGTCACTTCGTCCTCAAGAACATTCTCACAAGGTTTGGCGTCCCCCAACAAATCATCTCCGACAACGGGACTCAATTCGAGGCAGCCCCCTTCTGCGCCCTCCTGGAAGCTTGGGGCATCAAGCACACATTCTCTTCCGTTGCCTACCCTCAGGGCAACGGGCAAGTAGAGAACGCCAACCGAACCCTACTTGAAGGGTTGAAGAAAAAGCTGGAAGCCGAAGGGGGAGGCTGGGTAGAAGAGCTTCATAACATCCTGTGGGCCTACCGCACCACCCCTCGGCGTGCAACAGGTGAGACCCCTTTCTCCCTATGCTATGGCTTTGAGGCAAAGGCTCCAACAGAAGTGACCCTTCCCACCCGAAGGGTGGAACAATATGAGCCCGAGGTCAACGAAGCCAACATGGCCCTCGACCTTCATCTCATCTCGGAACGCCGAGAGCAAGCTTTCCTCAAGGCCGAAAACTATAGGAGACAAGTCAAAGGTTACATCGACGCCAAGGTCCGCTCCCGGGAATTCCAGGTGGGAGACTACGTCCTTCGACGAAGGGAGGCCAGTCTACCCACCGAAGGAGGAAAGATGGCGCCCAAGTTTGAAGGCCCCTACATCATCTCAGCCATCATCAAGCCGGGGACATACAAGTTAAAACGTCCTAATGGGACGGAGATTCCTAGACATTGGAATGTGCACCACCTAGTGAAGTTCTATCAATGAGCGGCCAAACCCTCATCCTCAACAAGTGTAAATATCAATGGCCCAAGGCCCCATCTATTTTTGAAGAATAATCAAAAGGCCAAGCCTTCATCACCTACATATTATACAAGCGGCCCAAGGCCCCCCTTCTATCTTACACATGAGAGGCCAAGCCCTCATCTCTCCAGCTGGATAGGCCCAAGGCCTCTCCCTCTGATGAGGGAGAACAACCATTTAGGTACCAAGTACCAAGGGAATGGGTCACCCCCATCACTCTTTGAAAACACCAAGTGTTTTTCTCAAACTTTTACATACTCTTTTAAAAAAAAAAAAAAAAAAAAAAAAAAAAAAAAAAAAAAAAAAACCCGGGAGGTACAATACCCCTCGGCTCCGGCTGGCACCAAGTGCCCCCGGCTATTTGTGTCCCACACACAAATAAAACCCTTCCCAGGAACGCTTTCCGCGCCATCCCCCAAGGGGAGGCAGGCAACGGACCATGTCCCGGGCCCAGGATTCGACTTCCACAAACGAAACGCTCCCCGCGCTATCCCCCAAGGGGAAGCAGGCAACAGACGATGTCTCGGGCTGAGGGGACGACTTTCAAAACCGAGGCGCTTTCCGTGCTATCTCCCAAGGGGAAGCAGGCAACAGACGATGTCTCGGGCCGAGGAAACGACCCTCAAACCCTTCGGGATATCGGAAGGTCATTCCCGAAGGGGGAGCCAACGGTTTGTTCCGTTGCCTCCCATATAGGCCAAGCCTTTCCTAGAAACCAAGTTTCTAGACGCCTCTCCTACACCATCTAAAAAAAAAAAAAGGATGTGTAGGGGGAAAGGAACTCCCCGGATACTATTCTCCCCGGAGGCTCAAACACTTCGGATATACATTCCTGAAGGCTCCTACAAATTCACAAGAAAATCTCGCAGGCAACAAGTCATCTGGCCACAAGGCCGAAGGCTTCACTGCGTAAAACCTTGGAATACAAGAATTCCACCGAAGGAATATGAAGAGGGCTTACTAAATCTGGCTCGAATCGAAGACACCAGGATACATACCGAAGGCTACACAAAGTTCTAAGGCAAGCTAAATCTATTATCTACACGAACCGGAGGGTTCAAGCCAAGGGATGGAGGATCACCAAGCTCATTCAAACGATCTCAACAAATCTCAGAATTTCACTGAGTCCATAATCTTGGACCCCTCGGCAATCATATGCACCGGGGGCTCGGCAGTTCCCACGCTCGAAGGTTCACTACGGTATCTGTTGACTCATGGCCGATGGCCTCCCAAACTACTTGGCAATAGCCAGAAGCTACACTACTAAGTGAAGGCTTCCCCTGATGGAATTCCCAAGTCCAATTCATCCTATCCCTCGGCACTACTACTACGAACATCCGAAGGGGGTTGGTCCTACGCTACGACCGGAGGCTCGCAACAAAAGTTCTTACTTAGAAAATATTCTAAGTCCACAATCACTAACCCCCCGATGATTCTACCCTACATCCGAAGGGTTCTGATCAAGTTTACTTGGAAAATTTGATTATTCCACAACAACAGGCCCCTGGGGACTCAACACTACAACCGGAGGCTTACTGCCACAAACTTACGGCATTCAACCAAACATTCATGCAGATAAAGGAAGCAATCATAAAGAGGAAATTGCAAAGACGGAGGCATTCAATCAACAAGAGCCCGAAGGCGATCATTCATTCATCCAAGAAAAATATTTAAAATACAATCATGTTTCATCACAAAGTATGGCCGAGGCCGGGGACTACAGACTATTACAACATTACACTTGGTAAAACTTCAAGCTGCAACATCTTTTGTTGTATCTCCCTTCGGTTTGGAGGAGGCGTCATCCTCAGCTTCTCCTTCATCATCCGAGGCCAGCCTATCCAGCTCCGAGTCCTCCAGAAGCTGCCTCTCTTCGCCTTCTGGAAGGGGAATCCTGACGTCTTGGAGCAGGGGGGGAAGGCCGTAAGGCGTGGGATCAAAGTCCTTGGGGTCCACCCCAAAATGTCGAGCCAGCTTCCGGTAGAGCATGGCTTGCGTGAAATACTGGCCCCCCTCATAGAAACTCTTCCCCTTCAGAGCAAGCCACATGGCCCCGGGGCCTTTGACCCAATCATCCACCGAAGTCTCCACGACCGAAGCCAGCCACGGTTTTTGCTCTTCAGACCTCCACCCCTCGGCAACATAAGAGGCAACGGCATCCTCGGCAGCTTTAGCAACGGCTTCGGCCTTGGCCCTTTCGGCTTCCTCGGCGGCTGCTAAAGCGGCCTCAGCGGCAGCCCTCTCTGCCTCAGCCTTCCCCTGGGCGATGCCCTCGGCCCTCGCCTCACTCTTGGCCCCCTCCAGCTTCTGCTCGGCCTGCCGAAGGGCCTCCTCCAACATAGCGAGCTGCCTGATGGCCTCAGTGTTATTGGCAATGAGCTTCCTCGTCACCTCGTCAGACTTCGCCTTCTCGAGGCGGTGCTGTTCCGCCCTGCGGACAAGTTCCCCGAAGGCCAAGCTAGCCTGCAAGCAAACAGGGGTACACCTGGGATCAGATTATGCAAAGGAAAAGGAACACAATAACAGAAGATTCCAAAGGTCGAAATACTTACAGTGGCCGAGGCCTGGAGGGCCTTGAGCTCGAGGGCTTCGTCCCCGAACCGGCTAAGGGTGGACCTATCCACCGAAGGGGTGGCACCCCTCAAGAATTCCCTCGGGTCGAGGGTGCCATGCATGATGGCTGTCCCCTTCTTGATGGGGAAGTGTACTGTTTCAAGGGGCCAGGCACCCTCGACAAGATCCTCCGGGGGAGCAGTGGCAGACGATTGGCCGGCTGGGGGGTCATCAATGATCACCACGGGGGTATCCTTCGGCTCAACGTCCCCCTTCAATTTTTTTCCTTCCGGAGGCCTGACGCCCTTCCCGGCGTTTTTTCGCTTGAGCCCCCCCTCCTTGGAGCCTCCGGCATCAGAACCGGCGCCAACGATTACAACCCCCTTCGGGGGCCCTTGACCCTCAGGGGGCTCCTGCTTCTTGGAGAGGACATCTCCCTGCGGCTGTGCCGGGGGCCTCTCCTCCTCCTTCTTCTTGTCCTTGGCCAGTTGCCGGGACAGCTTGGAGAATGCCTTCGGGTCCATAAAATCGCCTGCAAAAGAACATCAAGGAAAAAGTTAGTCAAAAGCAAATCAGGGATTTACATCTCTAAGTACTAACAGTAATGGCCCTCGGCAACAACCTCTAACACCCGGAGAGCCCCGGTCAAGGAGAGGATATCTCTCGTCTTTCTCCCCTGGCAGGCGATACCGCCGGAATTCCAGCTTGAACAGCTCTTCCAGGAGCGTGGCGGCCTTGATGGTTGTCAGCTTCTCTGAACCCGGAGGCTTCGCCTTCAGTTTCTTCCCATCACTCTCAAGGGCGGCGTTGCCTACCTTGGGGTGCCTCCGGAAATGATTGCGGAGAGGCCTCGGGAAATCAGCTCCCAGCATCCTCAGGTAGCAGAACCGATCCTTCCATCCCTTGTGGGACGAGGGCACCTCTGAGAACAGCCTCCATGCCGGCAGCTGTTGAAGGTTGGCGAAGCCTTCACTGTTTGCGGCCCCCCCCTCGGCAAAGGTTGAAGGACAGGAAAAACTGGTCAAGAGAAGGTTCCACCCCCCGGGAATCACACAGAGAAAGGAACCCCGCCAAGTATGAATGGCTGTTGGGGGTTAACTGACAGGGAGCGAGGCCTACGAACCGGAGATACTGCACGACGAAGGGGTGCAAGGGGAAGCGGAGGCCCAACTCCACCGAGAGGATATGCACAACAAAGCAGCCTTCGGGGGGAGATAACAGTACGTCGTCAGGACCTGGCACCACCACCTGTGCCGACGGGCCCACTAAGAGCTGAGTCTTCAGATACTCCGCCTCCACAGCCTTCGTCTTCAAATCTAGCGCGGCTGTGTTGAGGTAGGAATGTCCTTCGGGAATTCCCACCGGCTGTCCTGCATCTACCGCAGCCTGTTTCTTCTTCTGGACAGCCTTCTGCTTCTTTCCCTTCTTCCCCGAAGCCACCCGGAGGGGCACTGCGTCAATTGGCCGGGAGCTACTCGTTTCACCGGCGCCTCGCGAAGGCAAAAAGGCAACCGTGACACGTTGCCTCTCCTCCTCTTCCTCGGCTACCTGAAGCGCGAGGGCCATCTCCTCGTCCTCAGCGACCTGTTCGAAGTCTTCGGCTTCGACCTCAGCATGAAGGTTGCTTTGTACCTCTCTCGCCACCTCAGAATCATTGTTGGACGAAGCCTCGCTCGATGACTCCATACCCAAGTAGCTTTCAGATTGGGCGGGGGCTTCCTCCGAGATGTTTTGGGAGTCGCTTGCCGAGGACATCTTTCCGTAGAGTAAGGAGGAAGATTGGAAGAGGATACTAACTAGGGGGAACTAAAAACACTTAATCTAAGGCCGAAGTAGCTAAGTATACTGAAGAAACGAAGAACTGAGGAAGAACTGACCTTGGGAATAGGGTTTGATCGAAGCAAGGACTTTCTCTCTCTAGAAATTTTGGCAGAGCTTCGCTATCGCATAAAAACGCACAGGGAAACTGAGCTCCGCCTTGGGGTACTTATAGGCCTTCAGCCTCGAGAATTGGGCCTCCATTTGAAAAGCCATCATTACATGCCGCCGATTTGACCAATGGGCGCCATCCGCCCACTCTCAGCCACCAAAAACTTGACACGTGGAACCCCTCTCCAACGGCTCTATTCCAACGGCTCTGTTTTAAAAACTTGAGGCGAGCTCATCTTTGCAGCCTCCGGCTTACACTCCCACAGCCTTCAGCCAATGCATTCCAACATAGTGCCTTCAAGCCTGCGGCAGCATAAGCGCCTAGCTTATCAATAATATCACCCCTCGGGTTTGCATCAACACATCATAACTCCTTCAGCCCGAACTAACCTTCGGCCCAAAGGAGTGGGGGACTGGGATACACCCCTCGGGAATCATACAAAAACAAAAATTCCCTCATGCAAAGATTTACAATTGACGCATGTAGCCTCCGGGCACCAGAGAAGAAACCCCCCGGGGTACATGCTCCAATATACCCTTCGGCAGAGGCAAGATATCACAAGTTTTCCCCAAGTCACTTGCGGGAATGAAGCAGCCCTCATCACAACACACGCAGGCAATACATCTATGCTTTCCCCAGAAAACCCTCGACATGTGAGGGACTGAGGAAAGCCTTCTGCGGTCATACAGGTGTTATACTGCCCTCAGAAAGCCCTCGACATGTGAGGGACTGAGGGGGCCATCGGCGAACATGCGAAGGTCGTGAATACCTTCCCTCAGAAAACCCTCGACATGTGAGGGACTGAGGGAAGCCTTCGGCAATCAGCAGAAGACAAGTTCTCCAGCAAAGGCACCCAGCGAAATGATGAAGCCTCCAGAAGAATCAACACATCTACTCCTTTTCCCTCAAGTACCTTTCGGCAAAAGGAGTGAGGGACTCCTGATGGAGTATATGGCCCACGAACCCCCGGCCCATAGACTCCTGTTTCTCCTACACTAGTCCATTGAGCTCAGGAAACAACTCAGGCCCAAGTACGACGGCCCCAGCCTCAAAGTGGCCCAGAATACACACTGGGGTGCCTTCGGCCTCCTTGGCCGAAGGCTCCAGAACTCACAGAATGGCCTTTTCGGCATAGGAAGCTACTGGGAGAAAACGGGCGAAGAATGAGCCTTCGGCATCACTACGCCCTCGGCATTGCTACGCCTTCGGTCACACGGGGCCTTCGGCCGTGCAAGGGTCCTCACCACATGGAGCCCTCGGCTACACAAGGAGCCCTCGGCTACATCAGGAGCCTTCGGCTACATCAGGAGCCTTCGGCTGCACCGGGAGCCTTCGGCTGAACTAGCTCAATCATCGAAGATTCCTTTTAGAGACAGCCAACCACCGCATTTAATACCACGTCACATCCGCCAACCGCATTCAATGCGGTGGACGTACCACTGCCGGTGCCAACCGGCTGATGTGACCCTTCGGCCGTTGGATTACTGACACGTGTCCTCTCATCGCATTTATTGCTGCTATAAATAGCAGCCCATTTCTCCTTGTAATCAACACAACCTACATCTCTCAACGCCACACGCTGAGTTCATTTAATAAATCGACTCTCTCTCCTCCTATTTTTGCTCTGACTTCTCTCTAGTTATTCCCGCAATAACCCCTCGGATAAGATACCCCCCGGGTATACTATCCATCAGTAATATATAAGTATATTACTATAAGATGAGTAATACACTTATACTTAATACTTTAATATATATATATATATATATATATATATATATATATATATATATATATAGATTTTGGTTCAGGTGAGAAATGCATCTAATGTGAGAAATGAGAATGAATCCCAATCATTGGATTTACGAAGTTGCACTAAAATTGGCTTTATGTTGCAGTAATATTTAAATTTTGCACATGTTGCACTAAAACTGTTTCATGTTGCACTAATATTTGACGGCGTTGCACCGAAATAGCTTCATGTTGCACTAGACACATGTAATACGGATTTTTCAGAAGTATTTACAGAAATGCCACCGTGCTAGATTGCATATTTCAGTGCATCATGAAGTGTCTTTTACTGCAACTTAGTCGAATCCAATGGCTGAGATTCATTCTCATTTCTCACCCAAAGGGTTCTTCTCACTTGAACCTTACCCTATATATATATATATAGAGAGAGAGAGAGAGAGAGAGAGAGAGAGGAATGCTCAGGTCCATCCGGAGGGACGGGAGGTGCCGTCCGAACTTTACTGTTTGGGTGGTTCCCGGTGGAATTTTTTGATGAACATTTTTGAGCATGTTCCTCATCAAGTCTAGTTTATCCAAACCAAATTTCAACTCAAAACTCGATCGGAAAGGCATTCATTAGAAGTTCGGAAGTATGGTTCAGGGCCTAACGGCTATATTTTAAAAAAATTGAATAATTCAGCCCTCCTAGCCGTTGGGACTATTCCCAAACGGCTATATAGCCGTTGAAGGCCCATGAGGGGGGGGGGGGGGGGGGGGGGGGGGTCCGGGGGGTTCTGGGGGTGGGGGGATACCAAAAAACTCTATTTATACTCCTATTTTCTATACATTTTTTACATCTCTTCTCCTACAACTCTTCCTACTCTCTAATTCTCTATTCTCTCATATTCAATCATCTTCATCTTCTCCAATTCTCTCTACACATATATTATTTATATAATTATTATATCTACTTATATATTAATTATCTACTTATAAATAAATATATTATATTACTAATATTTATTATCTACTTAATATATACTTGTAATCTACTTAATATTTACTTGATATTTAGTTATTATCTATACTTATTGTTATTTACTTATATTTACATATTAAAGTATTACTTAGTTAATATACATTAAAGTATTAAGTATAAGTGTATTACTTATCTTATAGTAATATACTTATATATTACATACTATAAACATTATATTATATATTAGTTATAATATATTTACACATTATATATACTATATATATATACTTATACACATTCATATATATTAAAGTATTACTTAGTTACATATCTAGTTAAAATTTACTTTAGTTAATACATGCATGCATGCATGCATACATACATACATACATACATACATACATACATACATATATAGAAAAGATCAGGTCCATCCGGAGGGACGGGAGGCTCCGTCCAAACTTTACTGTTTGGGGCGGTTCCCGGTGGAATTTTTTGATGCAATTTTTTGAGCATGTTCCTCATCAAGTCTAGTTTATCCAAACCAAATTTCAGCTCAAAATTCAATCGGGAAGGCATTCAAGTAAATTCTTGAAACATACTGCACATACTGCACATACATAATGTATGTATGTATGTATGTATGTATGTATGTATGTATGTATGTATGTATGTATGTATGTATGTATGCATGCATGCATGCATGCATG